GAAGGGCTGAAAAGACTTGATAGCCCATTCAACTGCCGGTGCTGTGATAACCTTTTTTGCGACGTCCCAGTCGTTCTTTTTTGGGCGTTTAGCGCCCTCGAAGATGGGCGGTCTGTTGTTATCAAGAGTCAGATTTCCAGAAAAGTGGTTTTCTATCAAAAGCTCTAACGTTTCTTCACTAGAGGTCGTAAATGTTCCATCGGGTCGTTCAAGCGACCCAATTTCAGCAGTCGGCTCTCTAGAGAGAATCTTGGAAATGTTTGCGCTGCGAGGAAAATCAGAGATACTCTCACAGAACTTCCTCCAAGACTCCCGTTTTGCCTCTCTAATTTCCTTGTTGTATGTCGTTAGAGTGGTTTTATAAAGCTCCCAGTTACCTGACTCTTTAGCTCGATTGAATAGTCGTCGAACTTCTTTTCTTTTACTTTCAAAGCTTTTGTTCCACCAAGAAGAGTTGCGGTTATCTCTTTCAACCCTTAGTGGACAGTTCTCATGATAAGATGAGATCACTGCTTCGCTACTGTATCCATATCATAACAACTGTGAATAGTACTGAATCCGTTCTCAAAGTACGATTGGAGGGAGTTTTTATACCCCCTCCGGTCAGTAGTTTTGAATCACGATATTCTACTACTGATCTAAGACCTGTTTCAATATTCAGTAGATACAGACCAATGGTGTATCTTGTTGTCAGAGAATGTGAGCTGATGGTTAAATCTGATACATCTTGCCTATTACTAGTGACAAAAGTTGGATCGGAGCCTTTATAAATTACAGCCAGCCCTTCCCCTAGTATATAATCAAAGAGTAACTCACCCCTACGGTTTATATTCGTGCTGCCCCACGCTGTATGGTGTGAATTGGCGTCACATCCCATAATTATTTGTATTTTGTTCCTTTTGCTATAGTGAATAAGTCGTCAAACAGCAAGAGGAGGTACAGTATCCGAATCTCCCGGAAAGTAAGCGGAGCAGGTGAAGCAGGCGATAAAATTCGTCTTACCCTTCTTGCCCGATAGAGAAATTTGGATGGCTACCACGTCTTGGGTGCAGGAGCCTGTAAGCAAAAAATGGTTAATACTTTTCCTGATGACCAGACATGCTCTGGGTTTCACCCCAGGGCACGCTATCACCTCACCAGGAATATTGCTCAGTCCGGTTACTCGGCCTGTATTTCCTGTTCGTGGTTCCTGCAGGCAGGCAAGGTCGATTAATTCATCCTTGAAGTTGTTTCCAAGGACGTATGAAGCGTCTTCGGCATGTTGTAAGTTTGCCTGCAAACACTTGAAGATAACAAGTGTTGCCGCAAACTTAGAACTCTTCGACCCTAGGAGGGATCGAGGCAGACAAGGGTGGGTACTATCAGATGCTTTTTCGATTATTGAGTCCCAGTTCTAGTTCCTGACAGGACTGAGGAAACACTAATAGAGATCATAGTGGAAAATATCGAACCCGGAACCACCACCATAGTAGATTGTCCTATAATCGGTTGGGTATACACCTCACTGTGAACGACAGTATAAATTGTATTGATCCTCACCCAGGTTAGCTGTGCATTTTTGCAAATACTTCACTTCACTTCAATTTGAACTAAATGGAGAATTAAATTATCCTTTACTGTGATATACTGTTATTGAAAATGTACCTATTTAATCACCCGGTATATCCATATTATTTATTTCAGTAAGAAATAACAATGTTTTTATGTTGCTACCTTTGTTTTTATATTGTATGTTCGCAGTCTATTGGAAACGTTTTGAGGGAATAAAGGACCTTGATATTTCACTTGCAATTGAATAATTTCACCCAGTCATTCCTAATATATAATAGAAGTGGCGACGAGGAGTGTTAACACTTCATAAAAAGTGTTAGAACACAGTGTGATAGTGTTTTTTTTTTGACCAACTGAATAGTTTGGCTCGCGAAAATGCCAGATCCACAAACAAATCTAAATCCATCATATTATGGACAAGTACGGGAATTCCGTGGTCAAGATAGCGACTGGGTAATTTATAAGCGTAGACTTGATAATTATTTCCAAGTGAATGATATTGATGATGATAAGAAAAAGGCAATATTGTTGAATGCTTTGGATGAAGATTCATACAAGTTGATATATAATTTGTGTCTTCCGAAGTTTCCAGAGGAAAAAAGTTATCAACAACTCACAGAACTGTTTAGTCAGTACTTCGAAGTGTCCGAGTCACTGTTTGTGGCCAGAACGAAGTTTTTCGCAGCTTTCAAGAATCAACATGAAAGTGCCAATGAGTGGGCGGCAGGAGTTAGAAATTTAGCGATCAACTGCGAATTTGAAGAAACAGTAATTGATATGATGTTACGTGATCGATTCATCGTTGGATTTGATAAAGGGTCAGTTCAATCTAAACTTTTCAGAAAAAAGTCAACTTCCAAGTTTGCAGTTGTTTTAGAAACTGCATTGGCGGAAATGGCGTCGGAGGATAATTATGCCAGCAGAAGACAACCATTCATCGGAACCAGGAGTGCATCATGTTTCTTCAAGAAAATATCGGCAGACTCCAGCTTCATCATCGCAAACATCACACAGTTCTAAACCCAAGGAAAAGTGCAAGTGTTGTGGTAGAAATTCGGTATATCCATATTATTTATTTCAGTAAGAAATACCAATGTTTTTTATGTTGCTACCTTTGTTTTTATATTGTATGTTCGCAGTCTATTGAAAACGTTTTGAGGGAATGAAGGACCTTGATATTTTATTTGCAGTTGAATAATTTCAGCCAGTCATTCCCAATATATGGAAATACGAAAGGAATAATACAGAGTATGATTTTGTTTTATCCATTTCATTTATTTAAAATTCAAATAAATGTGTTGTGATTCACATTCAAATCTTCATGAATTTGGTTCAAAATGCACCTACTAAAACATTTTAATTTTTTGTCAAAATCATTTTGCTCACTCAACCAATATTTGTAAAGGTATTTTGTTAGTTATACATAAGGTGCATCATTTCAGTACGAACTGAAGAGTTGTGCAAAAATATTGAATAGCTCTTCGCGTTTAAAGAGCTAGACAAGCATACTATTACTTTTTTAGGACATTTGAAAGTATTTGATGACCTCAATAATAAAGTTTTCTATTCTCTTCGAGGTCCGGCAACATCCTGCATCATCCATTAAGTATCATCTACTGAATTAATCTATTGAATTAATCTATTCTATAGAAAAGATAATATCAGGTAAAACTCACAAAACTCTTATGAGTGAATCATACCCAAACTGTCGTGAAAACAATATAGTCAAGTACAGTAGCATCAATTACTCAGGTAAACTTTCAGANTTTTAACACCTCGACACGTATTTGGATCACCAAATGATCATCTTCAAAGAGGAAGATTAAAACTGTTTTAATTTACTGTTTTTAATTTACTGGAGTTTTTTCCCAACACCAAATCGTTATTTTCAACACCTCGACACGTATTTCGATCACCAAGTGATCATCTTCAAAGAAGAAGATTAAAACTGTTTCAATTTCCTCTTTGAAGATGATCACTTGGTGATCAAAATACGTGTCGAGGTGTTAAAAATAACGATTTGGTGTTGGGAAAAAACTCCAGTGATATTCAACAATTGAACAATTGTTATGCAGATCTTGCATAACAATACAGATTTTTAATCAACAGAAAGCCATAATTTTTTCTTATTAGTCAGTGGGCTATGCTTGAAGACAGGCAGCAAACAAATCTAAAGGAATGAATTTTAAATGTTCAATCCAGTCTCGGATATACCTACACAGTATGTTGAATGGACTGACGCTTATCAGAAAACAACTACTCCCCTGGCTAATACCACGAACGGTGTTGGATTATATCCTACAGGCGTCAGTGCAGGAATCTTCACAGAAAATTTCCTGCATATACAATTGGCAATACAACTGAAAGAGTCGATCCTCAATTTTGGAACGGGCACACTTGCAGACCGGTTTCGGGCTCATTAGCCACTCGTCAGGTCAAGATAGTGGCCATCATCGACCTAATGTCAATGATATTCCATAATTGAAAATGGAAATTATTTCAGAGTATTTCTTTCCTCGCCTTAAGTTGGAGCGAACAACAAAAATGTCACTCCATCCAGTGGACGAGGTACTAACCAACTGCATATCCGAAATTTGCTCGATTCCTCTAGCAGTTCCATAGTAATTTCATAAACTACACCTCACGATTTGATTTGAATGTATTCAAATCACTGTTGATAAAGCTACTGTGTTAGCGAAACATGCCGTGATATATTTTTCAAATAAAGTTTGTGGAGATCAAATCGTGAGGTGTAGTTTATGAAATTACAAGTTGTTTCTTACTGCAATTGAGTCTACCTCCATCAAATTATCTAAACCTCTACAACTTTCATATACCTGAGGTTTCTCTTCAATTATGATTACTTGAAGCATATTACCTCGCTTCTACATCAATAATAATACTTTCTTGGTATTTTTAAGAAAACAAGTTCATTATTGGTGATCTATTCAAATCCAATTGGTTATTCATTAGAATGTTTCAATTTTTAAGTTTATTAATTTCTGTTGCTTTCAAATGATTCAGTTTCAAACCTTCATTTCCTGTGTCTTGAATTTCGAACTCTTCGTTAATGATATGATTTTCTTCTAAAAGATTATACTTATAATTTTTCATTTCATCAAATTACACAGTAAGTAACAAACTTGTACGAATAATAAGTAGTATATTACATGTGAGACTCCGAATATAGTTTCTAAAGAGCACTCTTCAAATTTACTTTTTCCACAGAAAACCAATAGGTCATACTCTGGCATCTGAGTCCTACTTTTTCAGCCAAGCTCTTCGACGCAGCGTTTGACAATGATATCATAGCTGTAGGTTCATCACCTTCTTGTGCAATCTGCCTACTCAGTTCTTTCACAAGTATTTCAGCAAATCCTCTACCTCTATATTTTTCCAAAGTATGCAGTAATCCGAGTTCACCAAGTGCACTTTTCAATATCCATGCAACTAGTTCATTAGTGGATTTCAAAAACAAACCGACACCACCATTGTGTTCAATCAAAGAACACACATACTCGTAAGATCGGTTATAATCATCGAAAAACCATACAGATTTGGCTGTTTGGATGTGACTTAGTTCGATCTTTTCAAACTTCACATCATCAGGACATCTGCAAATGAGGATTCATCAGTTTTTAATTTAAAAAAGAGATCATATCGCTGTAACAAATCAGAAATGAAATGAATAATCGTTCATAATAAATTCCAATATTGGAACATCTGTACAATTATCAACTGAGGAAAATGTTAATTTTTCTTCAAGTTACTCACTCTGAATTATTGAGAAGCATTGCTTCCTCTATTGGAATGCTGTAAATATAAAAAAGAGAGGGATATTTCACTTTCATGTTCTTATTTTTCAGTACTCGTTCGATGGTTGCATAAATTTTATAGTCAATTCCATAGAAACATATTGCCTTGTCAAATTCTATCCTTCTGGTTTCCATTAGACTTCCATATATTGTCTCGCCAGTCATATCTAATGTGAAGACTGCTATTTGATATTCTTGGCCATACTGAAAATGATTATCTCAGTTTAAATTCTGATCATCGACCCACAGAAATTCTGCAATTATAATAAATCATTTGATCTACAGAAAATACTGTCAATCAATTTTTCATCGTTAGATAATCATGGTATTTAATGATCACGAAAATTTTTGATGAATTTAAATTCCGAACATGATTTTTTTCAATTATTCGAAAAAGAACACTCTCATATGTATAACTGATGAGTTGTACATCATTTGTATATATAGATAAAATATATTTATCAAAGGTATACTTATACTTTCGGATAGATATATAAGATCAATTGTCCTCGAATATAAACTAATTCATTTCATTAATTTCAATGAAAACGGGAGAGNAAAGATAATATAATATCAACTGTAGCGGCAATAGGGTTGAATCGTAATATATAGGCACTTAATTTACAAGTACCTACATAATCAGCCAACATTTTTATTTAAGGAATGAATGTAGGCTTTCACGGCTGGCGTCAATATTTCAGTTGTTACTTCGACCACGCCACTGAAGATAACTGCCGCAGTTGCTGATGAAACTATAGAGATTGTAACCAAAGAAGACCACGGCAACACCCTGAAGCCAACCAAACCAACATCAATAATTGATTGAAGTATATTATTTTTAGACATATTGGTGAAGAGGACGACACTGAATGAGAAACATCTGTATACCAAAATTTGAACCAGGAATCCAACCACCATCAATCTACTAGTGAGGAATTATCAAGACTCTAGTAAACCGTACTTTCGGGCAGCGAGAGCCAAACAAGGAAGAGAAGCCGTACTTGTAGTTCCCTGCATCAGAGGATTGTTGGAAAGGATAAAAAGAATTGGGTCCGAGTATAACATCAGAACCTGCTTCAGATCCGGAAACACTATTTATAGAAGCCTCATGAAAACCAGGCCACCAAACGCGGACTGTGATTCCAAGAATTGCATTTGCCGGATACCCTGCGAGTGCGGAAAATCCTACATCGGTGAAACTTAGAGGCCATTGAAAATTCACTTGCCGAGCATAAGAAACACAGAGGAACCAGCAAATCGAGAATAGCAGAGCATGTTTGGACTCATCAACATAACATCAAGTGGTCTCAAGCTGAAATCATCCACAAGGAGGAACATTGGACTAGGAGAAAATTCAAAATGCCGCATATACCGGGTGTCAACGAATCTATTAGACAAGTCATAACTTTTAGACTATTAGGTGTATCAAAACGAGATTTGGTACAGATAAATGGTATGTGGAGAGGAGAGTTTTCACATATTTTTCACTTTCCGGTCACTTCCGGTTTCAGCGGAAATGGCTCCGGTTCTGAATTTTTAAATGGAACACCCTGTATATTGTAACATTTTTGGATTTCTGAGACAATTCTGGATCAGAAACTGACATTTCCGGAAGTTTTTCAGCCTACTTGATTTTTTCAGAGTCACTTTTAAAATTGCATCTAGGTGGCCATGATCGGACGTAAACTAATCTATGGACCTCAGGTGATATCAGAAAATTGCAATAGCGGAGTTTTAGTGACTANGAAAAAATCAAGTAGGCTGAAAAACTTCCGGAAATGTCAGTTTCTGATCCAGAATTGTCTCAGAAATCCAAAAATGTTACAATATACAGGGTGTTCCATTTAAAAATTCAGAACCGGAGCCATTTCCGCTGAAACCGGAAGTGACCGGAAAGTGAAAAATATGTGAAAACATTCCTCTCCACATACCATTCAACTATACCAAATCTCATTTCAATTCTCCTAATAGTCTAGAAATTATGACTTGTCTAATAGATTCGTTGACACCCGGTATATTGTCCAACTACGCATTTAGCTAGCGTAGAGCGGAGGGGGAAGAGGGGACAAATGAAAGTACTCGAATGATCTTCAAAAAGTCATGGCTCGGAGGAATACTTTCAGTCATCACTCGAAGACGATTGTGGATACTAACAATCGAAACGTTGCGTCGTGAAGTAACTTGGCTTGAAATCTTTTGATTTTCATTTCTTGTTCATTGTTCAATTTTCAATGGTTGCTTGTATTGTATTTCATTATAATTTCAGTTTTTTGCTTAATATAATTGTTATTTTTCAGCTGATCTTTTTCAAATACTCGAAAGGGACTAATGGTTGTCAATTTTTTTTTCGAATACATTATATTTTTTGAATCAAGGATTATATATATCAAGAATGAGTCATGAAATTTGTTAAACAATTTTTAGGTCATTAATTAACATTTCGTAATAAGAATATGGAATGGCGTTGTTAGTTGCTTATGTTCATTAATAATGAATGAGGACAATGAACTGATAGACAAAAATTATTCATTTCCACATTTTTCTTCACATTTTCACGTGACACTCATTCCATCAATTTTCATGATATCATTTGAATATTCTCATGTGTCCGCATTGTATTCTAGTACTTCCGAGTTTTGATTCAAACTACTCGTCATTCAAGCCCGTGTCGTTATGCACGCTGCAATGTTAGATTTGTGAGGTTCCTTCGCCTGCTCGTCATGATCAAACATCTGTCTCGTCTACAAGTCACTCAATATTGAGTAAATAATATGCTTCGGTTAGATGTAACCATTGAGAAGGATCATTAGCGTCGCAGGGGGCAGTCTTTATACATGAACTAGTAGTGAATTTTTAAAATGCTATAGTTTGATCCAGTTATCATCTTATCATCAAGTGGCAACTTATCTCCTTTGTAACTTGAGAGAGATCTCTTTCATTTTCTGAGAATGATGGTTCTCTTATCTAACCATTATTTTTGATCTGATCGCTAGTAATCTTTAGATATTGGCTTGTTGAATCAAAGAGTTTTTTTAGTTGCTACTTGAATTTCTGAGGGGAATCGGAACGTTTTTTTCTGGAAGATATCAGCAAGTTATGCATCAGAAAGTAGGTCTCACTGTAGTCTCATTTTTTTTCAGTTACAAGTATCAATGAATGTGAGCCTGTCGCCTCATGGCCTACACTCTTACATGCTAGGAGTAATATTGCTTCCATTCTCTTGTTTTTGAGAGAACATTGACAGGTACTGGGTAATGATCTTCTGTGGTTCCATTCCATTTAAATATTGCTGGATTGCAGACCATTCGGAGAAAGTTAATACTACCATCGGGTAGATAAGAGATCCCTTTTTATAGCACAAATTTCACCATGATTTGAGACTTGCTGCTGATCAGATCGAATTGAAGAGCCACTTTCAAACTAACTTAACTAAATTGAAATCATTGTCGTTAATTTTTGGCATATCCCCAAATCTTCTATCGCGTCTTAGCCTCCATAATATCACAGTTGTGCCATTACCAGCTCTCTGTAGTGCGACCAGTTTCATTATCTACTGCTATACATTCACAACTTTGATATCCACTCTTCAAGATTGTTAAGATGTTCAAAATATGTTGTTTTCGTATTTCAATTACATCACAGTGATAAACGAGGCATTTCCATGTAAGACTTTTTAGAAAAAGCTTGGTCAATTGTTGAAAAATATTGGATTGTTATATGTTTTGCTAACATGGTAGTACATTTAGCGAAACATGCTGTGATATATATTTTTCAAATAAAGTTTGTGGAGATCAAATCGTGAGGTGTAGTTTATGAAATAGATTATTTTCAATCGTCTGGTGTACATGAAAGGGTATGTGAATGATAAATATGAAGTTAACGTATTCCAAAAACACTTTATTGTGAGATTTTCACTAAATTGTTTTACAAAAACGCAACACGTGTTTCGCCATACGATGGCTTCATCTGGCGTGTCTTTCAACTAATTCTACACATTCAATACTGAATATATATATAGTTTATGGAGTACCTGAAATCAAAGTACCTGTAAACGAAGTACCTGAATTTTAAGTAGCTGATATTTTACCGGAGTTTCTAACGAATTAAATTACCTGCACTTATGTTCCATTTTCACATTTGAAAAAATATATTCAGTAACGGAGAGTTATTGAGTTCTAATTGATCATTCAGTAAATTACCCGAATTCCTGAATCTATTGAATCTATTCCAAGAAATATGTAAACTGTTGGACATTCGAAAGACCAGAACCACAGCCTTACATCCACAGTCCGATGGAATGGTGGAACGAATGAATAAGACCATAAACCGCCACTTGTCCAAAGTAGTCTCTGACCATCAAAGAGACTGGGACCAATACCTCCACCTGTTTCTGCTGGCTTATCATTTGGCAGTACATGAGTCAACCGGCCAAACCCCTGCCAGTATTATAATGGGCCGAGAGGTGCGGCTTCCTTGCGCATTGAAGTTTGGTACGCCGCCAGAACAAGACACTGCGGGGGAAGGCTATGTCAGCAAGCTTCGGCAGAGAATGGACGACATCCATGAACGAGTCCATCTGAACATCCGGAGTGCCAGCGATAGAATGAAGAAGGCCTATGACATCAAGGCGAATGCTGGAGAATTCGAAACCGGTGACTTAGTTTGGCTGTACAACCCTAAGCGATGCCGTGGTTTATCACCGAAGTTGCGAAACTCGTGGGAAGGTCCGTAGAAAATCATGAAAAACATTAATGACCTCGTCTACCGAATTCATAAGCCACCTCGAAGAAAGCCTAGGGTCGTCTATTTTGATAGAGTGGCTCATTATGCTGGAAATCACGATCAAGTGCGTGCCCTCAGACCACCAGAGGATGGAATGGCGTGCCAGCAATTCATGTCCTTATATCGAACGGACAGAAGGTGGTACATGGGGTAACTCGAGAAGAGCCACGAGATCTTTTCAAGGTTCCTGTTGATTACGCACTAGCTCACTGCGTGGCAGAGGATCTCCAAATGTCCAAGGGTATCGCTGTGGCATTCAACAAGAAATTCGGTTAGCTCCAAACATCACGAGAACAGAATCCAGAAGTCGGAGGAGTGCTACAGTTGAAGGAGGGTCAGAGAAACATCTTCTACTTGATGACCAAAAAGCATTCTCGAGACAAACCGTCCTATGAAGATGTCTGGAGGAATCTCAGGTAATA